TCACCTTGCCGCACTGGCGGCCGCCTTCACCTGGTCTTGTTCTGAGTTTTCTTGTAACTGTTGCTGTCTCCTCCAGCGCCTTGGTGGACAATGGTTTTTATAGTGGTGTTGGTGAACGTGGTGCTCCTCCTGCTGGTCTTGTGGATTACCTGTCTGTTGCATAGAAGAAGACATCGATGGACTCAGCCAAGCCGACGTAGGCCCCGATGATCATTCACACACAACACCAACTCTCTGAAATATGAGAATACATTTTAATAAAAATCACTAGACGGCTGTATATGAAAGTGAAAGTCAATAGATGGCAGCATTGCAGATCATTTAATTAATCTATTTTAACGATCAGGGGACTGTATGCAGAATGTTGGAGACTCTGCAGTTCATCCAAGCTTTAAGGTTCATTTTAGCCGTGAGCTGCCTCTTGGTGCAGAGCTGCGGTCGCTTTCGCATGATTCTAGTGTTATCTTTTCTTACAGGTGTTCCAGTCGCTGCCACATATCAGCGTGGAAAGTCTGAAGCGGAGGAGCCACACTACATAAACATGGACCCAAAACTGATGAAGCAGAATGAGGGAAGAGTGGGTGAAGCTTGTAGCACAGAAGCAAAGAGTATTGACTGTTGTGATGAGGAGGTGGAGGAGGGTGAGGCCTGTCAGGGAGTGTCCAACAGAGAAGACCATGGGTGTGCACTGAGCTCTCACGTCTATGTTCTGGACACAGAGAAGAGACAGGTGTGTAGCAGACCTGTGGGGAAGGTCAGCAGTGACACAGAAGATGACTATGAGAACGTCAGCAAGCCCTCACGCAACGTCTCTAAGAACATGTATACAGACAAAGACTGTATCTATGAAAACTATTAACCCACGCTGAGTTCCTTTAACTTTAATGTTTTTTTTTTGTTCACTAATGTGGCCTTTATTCAAGCTTTGCTCAGTATGATGACTTATATGTATAATACTGACATATAGTTGTGTTTTTATTTTTTTAAGCTTCCACCTGGTTGCTTTATAGCTGACCGTGTCGCTGTTTACTGTTTTGGCTAAAATTAGCCCGGCTAAAATTAGCTCTGCTGTTAAAATAAAAATTTGAGTCACATTTTCAAATTTGAATTTACCAACATAAAACATAAAAGAAAAACAACAACAGAAACTAACATATCAATCACATTAGAGTTGCAGTTTGCAAACATTTTCTTTTAACATTTATTATGTTCAATACTAAATTTTACTAGGGCTAGGCTAGGCTAAGCTAGCACTGATAACACCTCGCCGCTTGTAAACACTTATTGGATAACTAACAAAAAGGTTTTTGGTTCATGTTTGCTCTCTTTTGGTTCTGATATTATAAATAAAATGTAACACATCAAAGTGTGAGGGTGAAACTTGTCAAATCTGTTGGAGACAAAAACAGAAGTACCTTAGCGGAAACGGTGAAACTTGTCAAATCTGTTGGAGACAAAGGCAGAAGTACCTTAGCGGAAACGGTCGGGAACCGAATATTAAAGACCTCTTTGTATTTATGTATCATTCTGTACCTTTAAGAACGCAGAGCTATCTTGTCCTGCATGTTTCACTCTGACCACTAGGTGTCATCGGCGTCATTGTAGTGAACAATTGGTCGTATAAAATATATTGTTGGTTGTCTGCACACACACACACACACAGGGCACTGAGCTCCGAGGCCCCGCCCCTCTCATGAATAATTCATCACCTCCTGTCGACAGGAGGAGACTCGTGCCGCCACTGCTCCTCAGACGTCAGCTCGTACTCACCGGGGGAAGGACAATAATGGCGAGGGGAAGAATAGGAATTATAATCACAACAATGGTGGAAAAATACGAGTGTCCTTTTGTGGAGGTGAACGCGCCCGGCTCCGTTCATGAATGAGGGACAGGTAAGAACCGCTGGCCGCCTCACACACCACGACCCCGCTGGTCGGTACAAAGGCGAAACCGAGGCTTGGATTTTAACGCGACCCGTACCCACCTACCACCTACCGGCGTGACGTGAAGATCGGTGCCGTCACTATTGTCATCCCCGAGACCGACAGTCAAGGTAGGTCCGAGTGGGACCCGTGTTTTTGTCTGTGTCTCCGTGCGTGTACGTGTGCGTGTGCGTGAAACAGGGAGAGATGGAGGGTGTGCGTTGGAGATAGATAATGTAGTAAGATGGCTGTGCGTGTGTGTGCGCGTGTGTGTGTCGTACCAGTCATTATGCTCGTTATTAACGTTTTACACAATAATATTTATTTATTTATGAATTAAACTAATCTAATCTAGTTGTATTTTTCTATTCATTTATTGTTGACTTAATTGATTGATTGATTCCTGGTACTTCACGTGGTCCACAGCACGTCTTGGTAAATTTCTTGGACTGTTTTTTCCCCCAGAGAATTATTTTTAAAGTCCTGTTGTAGCTTCAAACACAATTTTTTGCTTTTTTTTTCCTGACATTTTCCACTTGAAGGCACAAAGATGAAAAGTAAACCTGTGAACTTATCTCAGGTGTAATTGAGTTTGTGAAGTGAAGTCGATTCAAACAGCTAAATAAAAGTGTTATTAAAAAATTGGAAGAAAATAGAAGAAGAAGAAAAAAGGACATTTCCTGTCAGTGGTGGACGCTTCATCCATTGATTTCTTTCCATTCTGCCTCTTCATCCTTTTTCAGTGTCGCAGTGCACGGCTCACCGTAGTCCCAGCAGTCATAGGGTGAGGGCAGCACTCACCGAAACACACATCAAAACTGATGAAAAAGTGTCAGGACTTGGAACAGTGACCATCTTACTGTAAGGCAGGACAGTACCCGCCCTTCCACTGTGTGGCATTTAGACTCATTATTTTACCACCATGGATATTTATATTTTCTGACTCCACTTCACCTGGATTTTTTTTTGGAATTTTACCAAAATAAAACACATTAAACACGAGGCAGTAGATTATTTCACTATTTATTTTATTTCCTGACTTGTTATTACACCATGTCAGGTGTGACTCCGCCTCCCGCCCACACGCTGCTGAAGGAGTGTTTTATTGACACAGTGGGAAGAGAAGAATTGTATTTGAAAGTTCTAGGATTTACTTTAGGCCAGAAACGTCTGTAAAAATATTCCCTTCTGGCCATTTCTGTTGGTCACTGCTCGTCAATTCTGACCGTTTGGCCACACAGTGGAGAAGTGGGTAATGCTCCTGTTTTACAGCATGTGCATCACTAGGTTCCACACGTTAGGTTAATTATTCACTTTGTCTGATTGACCATTAGTGTGAACGTGAGCGTGAGTGTGAGTGTGAACGCTTGTCTGATCCTGTGACCGACGTTGGAACTGTTCAGGTCGTAGCTCTGTTGGAAAGTAGTGAAAATGTGAATTGTTCCCAATTGGAAATGGAGCCAGTAGGGGGCAGTAATGCAACTACTAAGTGTGTGTTTTTTTTTTATCTCTCCTGAATCTTTTCCTAGACGTCAAATTAAATGTAATCTCATGATAATCCTGTATACCACAGTCTGGGCTTTAAGACCCCCCCCCTCCCCGTCCTCTCTGCCCCCCCCCCAGTCTTAGACATTAGTTTAATAAGATTACACACCCAGTGTCATTAGCATCAACTTAAGTCTGAGCAGGGCTGATGAAAACTGACACTGTTGACTCATCAAGTTGGTGTGAAATCAATATTAAACATAACGTTAGCAGAATTCTATAATTAACTCTAACTATAAAAGCAGTGGTTCTCAAAGCGGGGGGCGCAGCAAGGCACATGAACGTAATTTTTTAATATTTTTCTTGAATCATCTTCAATCATAGTGTTTTAATGGCAGTTCTTTGGAGTTTTGAAGCAATACCTAGGTAGGTTATCAACGTAGGTTCACAGGTGTTAACGACGCCACTAGATGGTGCTGATGTTCCCAGGTTCTCTGTGAACAACATCCATCACCTGATCTTCTTGTGGGAAGAACCTGCCCTGGAAATGGAAAGAACGTGATTTAGAGCCTGGTGAATGTGAACCACCTGACCTGTGTCCTTGACCTTCTCTTCAGCTCCTCCACATGGCAGTACTGTATAATTACATCCAACAGAATTTAAAAAAATCTTTAGTTCAAAGTTCGACATTGCTGCTGTCTCAGCTTTTATTTTCCCATAATGCACTCCCTGGAAAAAAGGTTGAGTTTGAAAAAAAAAATGTCTCAGCTTTTATTTTCCCATAATGCGTTTCCCTGGAAAAAAGGTTGAGTTAGAAAAAAAAACCATATCTTAGACATATCTAGTCAGGTAGTTGGTATTTCTGGCCACAGAACAGCAGCCGTTTACCAGAACCTTCCACCTCAGCTGAAGGCGTTTTGACCCAATGACTGGGACTGAGAGTCGCTTCAAACGTGTTTCTGTGCGTTTGACACCAGTTTCCTGACCATCTGAAAGGGCCTGAAGTTCGCTTGAACGAAGCGTGCAGCTTTGAGCGGCCACTTCCTGAATTACAGCGGTGAAGCCGTCGAAGGTCGCCAGTGAAGCTGACGGAGGAGTGAGGGTGGGTGAGGAGGGTTCACGGGGAGAACAAAGAAGATAAAGGTGGAGCTATCTGTTAGCGCCGTCGGTTTTTCTACAGGAAGCTCACTTTCACACACGCACACACACATAGGCTACGGGAGTTCTGACCAACTACAGGAAGTTAGGACTGGCTTCTGTAGGGAAGAGAGATAAGGACGAGGGTGAGGAGGGAGGAGGGAGACTGGAGAGAGAGAGAGGGGGTGTGTGTGTGTGTTTACACTTTCTTATTGTAGTGTAGTCTTTATTTGTGGTGTGACTGATGTCTGTGATTTCCTCGGCCAGTAGGAAGCCACCGCTCTTTGCGCTCGTTAAAAAGGGAAATCCCCGTGAGGAGCTGAGGAAAAGGAGGCGATCAGTCAGGACGAACCTCCGGTTGAACCTGAACAGCTGAACAGGAACAACATGTCAGGATAAACAGCAGCAGGTCCCGGATCCTGCCAGATCCTCGGGTGGTTCCGTACCTGTGCAGGTGCTTGAGGGTTTGAGCTCCAACTGACACAGAAAAACAAATAAAAACTGGTCGAACGGGTGACATCATCAGAATAGGTTTTGCATCACGGATGTTTTGAACTCTGCAGCGGTCGACCTTTGGTAGAAATGAGGAACGTGTCAAGAAATATATCAAAATAAACGCCTTAGTTTGTACGACCAGAGTACTTTGATTGTATTTCGTAGTAGTAACAGGTAAAATAGGATTAAATATTTGCGTGTACTCTTTGTGAAATACTCACCAATATGGATAGAAATGTACATCTTAACAGACAACTTGCTTATGATCTGCCAAAGCTAACATGCTAGTGTTCCAGCTTCAGTTTTAGACATATGTGTGTTTGGCTAAAAGGTCAAGGTCACATAAAACCTTTTGTCTTTTCGTCTCTTGGGGTTTTTTTTTACAAAGGGTCAAAAATGCTGAGCAGTGTTTTTGTTAGTGTAGAGTCGAGAGTCGACTGTTGGGTTGATTTTAAAATGGTTTTGAATTTACACACCTTACGTTAGCTTTGCCGTTCGGCTAATGACAATAGCAGCTTTGTCCCATGAGGGGGTGTCGGCCGCTAATGAGGTCGTCCATCTGTGCAGTTTCCCAGTTTGCTGTTGTGGAAATAAAACAGAACTAATTAGCTGTTATTTAACCAAGACGTTAGCATGAGTCAGCAAATCTGGGATGATGTATATATATATATACATACTGTATATAAATACATATACATATATACATACTGTATATATATACATATATATTTGTATATATATGTATGTATACATACACTGTTGCTGTTGTATAAAAGTGACATTTTTTTTCTTTGTATCTGTTTCTTCTGCACTAATTAGCGTGTTAGCTTTCAGCTCCAAGGTAGATTTTTTTTTTTTTTTTCTACTCAGTTTTTGACCAAACCGGTCTGTTTTTGTGTGCAAACGACAGGAAAAGTTGCGGGGGGTCAGATGGAGCAGTAACTGACAACAGATGGCGTGTGTGTGTGTGTGCGCGCGCGTCTGTGTGTTTGTGTGTGTCATGTTTGATACGTGTGCAAATGAGAGAGATACAAAGTCCCAACCATCCTCTCTCTCTCTCTCTCTCTCTCTCTCTCTCTCTCTCTCACACACACACACACACACACTTCTTGTGAATGAACGTCTTCGCCCCATGCCTCCCTGAGTCACAGTTCCTGGCAGCAGTGACTCACGTCTTTTTTCCAAATTTCTCTCTAATCTTTGTATTTTTTTTATGTTTTTCTCTCATGAAAACATCACGTTTTATTTGTTTTTATTTTCTTTCTGTTAAAAACACACTGTAAAAACCATTTACAGCTTCTATTAGAGCTCCATTCTGCCCCTGGTGGTCGACCCCGCCCCCATTTTCCCTCACCCACAACCCCAGTGTGTGTACGTGGGTGAAAACCACAGACACGGGAGGTTTTTACTTCGTTAGTGATTTAGAAGAATTCCTGTGTGTTTGTTTCACTGGTAGAACTGACGGTGCAGTCGAGTGTGTGTGTGTGTGTGTGTGTGTGTGTGTTTGGAGGATTAACACACTGACACACATCTCACACACGCTCAAGTCTCCGCAGTGTGTACTTCGCATTTTTAAGAATAAAACGACATCTGGCTGCTGCAGCTACAGACGTCTTTGAGACTCTTCTTCCTCAGAGGAGGATTAGGATTATTCCTCTGACACACACACACACACACGTCTGGAAAGAGGAGGAAGGTTTACTTCTCTTTTTTTAGGTTTCTTATCTGTTACACACCAGGACTTAATTATTGTTGAATTCTTTGTTGAACTTAACTTATACTGTGACAACAATGTAGTAATAGTATTAATAATAATTAAATAAAGCAGAAATACACAAATAATTATATAATTCACGGTGTAACTGATAGCATTTTGAGAAAAAAAACTGCAAAAATACCAGTATTGAACGTACAAGTTAAAAAACGCCCCCAAGTGGCCAGAAGCTTGTTACGTTTATGAATCGATATTTTTACCAACTTCTTGTGTAAACAATCTAAAAAAAATAACCAACTCTAAATCACGACAAGTGATAAAAAATACGTATTTAAACAAACAATATGTATTTAAACTCTTAAAAAGTGTAAAACTGTTGTCTATCAATGAGGCTCGTATGCTCGTTAGCACAATGCTAATAGAGAAGCAGCTAAATCACGTAAACGCTTGACGCACTTGAACGTGAGTTGTCATCGGTAACGACACTAGGGGGAGACAGTCGGTTCATCGTTGGTTAGTCTACGCGTGAACGTCAAAGTAAAAGAGTGAATAACTACTGACACCACTGACAAACATTCGGGTTTGAATAACTACTGACACCACTGACAAACATCCGGGTTTGTTCTTAACTACACTCCTTCTTCTTCCTCTTCTTTTTTCTTCTTCTTTTCTAAGGACGCACGTTCATTTACCTCGAAGTAGCAGTTAATAACAGACTTAACTGACCGAGATTTTGTGCATTTTTAAAAAAATGCTGAGCTAGCATCCTCGGTGCTGATCTCAGATCTGCTCCTCCACGTCGCTTCCAGACGTATTAATGTAAAACAGAAACAACACGGAATCGTGTTTTTAATGACGTGTCGTTTAAAAAGTATGTATATTTCCGTGAAATGTCCCTTATATTGAAAACCTATTTGGACGGGTGACAAATTGCAGCTTTACACCAATCTACGGTCTCCTTGACGATGATATCACTGTCTGTCGACGGTCAAAACATCTTCCGCAGACATGTGATAGTCATTACAGCGGATGTCCCGGCGGGAAAGTCATTCCTACAGGTGGTGTTTAGCTTTTGTTAGAACAGGGATAATGGTTCCCCTTCATTTGTTCCCCCGTTCCACTGCGGGCTCTCGCCACGAAGGTGCACTGGAGGACACGGTGAAGACTAAAACAGAAGGAATGTAAAGGCCGACCGTGCTGCGGTGTGCATGATGCACAGCGGCCGACAGAGGGCGGCAGAGGTCAACGCTTAAAATGTGAACACCTGATGCTGTTTTAGGTCGATTTGTCATAAAGTAATGGAGAGAAAGAGAGATTTCTGATTGGAAACTCGTATTTTTAGCAACATATTGGCGCGGGTGATGCTTTTGTCTTACAGCAAAAACATTTACTGTTCGATTCCGTGTCTCATTGTTATTTTTTTTCTATGTAGTTTATGTAGTAGTATTCAAACTTTTGGCTTTTCTTTGGATTCTCCTTTTTTTTAACTCGCAGGAAACAGGTTTGTTGTTGAAGAGTCCGAGTCATTTCGTTCAACAGCGACACCTTACTGTCCTGCTGTACATTACACGTCTGTAGTCCAGACAGGTGTACATCCTCACTGTGTGTGTTGTTGACGTGCAGGTGGACTGGACGTGTGTGTGAGAACCTGGTGTTATGGTCAACGATGTTCCGGAACAGCCTGAAGATGCTGCTGGGAGGGAAAAACCGCAAGAACAACAACGGTCAGTACTTCAGCCCAGAGTTTGGTTCTGACAGTACACTCTGTCGTTGTTGGTTAATTTAAATTTGTTTGTGAATTAAGTTTGAATAAAATGAATTTAACTCGACTGTTGTCCCTGATTTTCCAATTACTCTGATGACAGGTGGCGTTGACTCGGAGGGGTCAGAGGTCAGGATGTTGGAAGGGTTCAGCCGGTCTCTTCCTTCTTCCCCCCTCCTCAACCTACGATTGGCCAACAGGAGCGGTGAGTGGAGTTTCTCTGTTCCTCTCAGCTGCTGGTCCAGGACCAGTGATGGTGTTGGTGTGTGCTGTAGGTCGTAGGCTACGGTCCAATCATATTTACAGAAACGTCTTGGTCACGTTTTTCTCCCTGGAGTTTTATAATCTGATAAAATCTGAAAAAGTGTCTCAAAAAAGAGCTAAAACACGCAGCTAATCACAGCTGTTCATTTAGCATGTCGCTAACTGAGGCCCTAGAAGTGTGTTGTCATGTGTTACAACACCAGGGGGAGACGGTGAGTTCATCTTTGGTTAGTCTACATACAAATTACAGTCTACACTTTTACTTTACTAATACCTAAAGTTTAAGTATGTTGAGCAGTGAGCACCATTGGCCGTACACCTCCAACTTCTGCTACATTTTGATACAAAAACAACAAATGAAAAAACATTTCACTAAGTAAACTACTGAACAATGCTGCCCCCCCTGTTCACTCCCCCACCCTCAGAGGTGGCATCTGATAAAGGGCAAAAATGTGTTGTTTTTTTTTTCTTCTTATAAATGAAACTAAAACTGTAAGAGATCCAACATGTGGGGACTCTGTGCCTGTGGAGTTCTAGTTTTATGGTTCTGTCACGCCAAGAGCCACACAGGAACATGGAGTCTAGGTTCTACTTCAAAGGCAGAGAAAAACCAAAACCAAACCATAACTGGCATTTAAAATGCTCTCTCTCTCTCTCCCTCTCCCTCCCTCTCTCACTCACACACACACCCATACAGCTGTGACCTGTTACGCTCTGTCTGGCGGCAACAAGGGGGTTGACCTATGACCCTACATTTGATCATCCCTAGGTGCCACAGTGAGAGAGAGAAATTGCAGAAAAGAAACCCAACCTTCTGCTCTCCTCCTCCTCACCCCCCCTGTTCTCCCCCCTCCTCCTCCTCGAGGTTGATTTGACACACTTTGTCTAAACATTACCATGTGGAGTTTCTTTCTTTCTCTCTGACTTTTCTCTGTGTTTTATATCAAAACAAACGGTCGGAGGCAACGCAGCGTCAGCGCTGTATCAGAAAAACAGCAGTCGAGCTCAGAGACGGTAACAGCTCACTGTAACAGCTCACTGTAACAGCTCACTGTAACAGCTCACTGTAACAGCTCACTGTAACAGCTCACTGTAACAGCTCACTGTAACAGCTCACTGTTGGTTTTTGACAATATTTCTTCATGATCACTGAGAAGAAGAGTGTGTGTGTGTGTGTGTTTGTTGGTTTTGATTTGTAGGATTACCGTCAGGTTGGTGATTAACCAACCACTGCGTCCAGGTGTTAGCTTCACCAACACAGTGATTAGCCGAAGCTCAAACAGCCGCTCAGACGAGGCTCAGAACTGGTTCGAGGACTGATACTGTGACGGTGAAGTCTTCACTCGGCAACGACTATTCCACACAAACTACTATGAAATACTGTGACGTTACAAGTGGTTGGAGACGGAGTTGTTACATACATCAGCATGGTCGCCCCCTGGTGACTAACGGCTGGGGTTCGTTCTGCTTCACGCGATGCTTCACTCCAGTCCCTCTGTGGTTGTGGGTCTGACTTCTTGTGGTACTGAACCAGCAGGAAAAGAACTGCCAGCTGTGGCCAGTAATGGTGCTTGTAATTACCTCCACCGAGGATGTTGTTTCTGCTGTCGTCTGTGTGTCTGTCTGCAGGACAGATTAGGGGGGAAAAAATCACATTTGTTAACATTGTCTTAGCAGTGACTGACTGACCTGGAAAGTGACTCAAAATGATCATTTATTTGATGAAGTTTTTACAGTTTGAAGCGACTGGAGACTTCACGTTCTCAGGAATTGATGTGGGAAACTGTTGTGAGCAGCAGGAACATTTCCCTCTCATACAAAGAGCTACATTATTGTGCAGACAACAATGTGATGTTGTGATGTAGAACCCAGTACTTTGGAGTACCACAGGTGATGATTACGAAGTATCAGCACTCGGTTTCACACACAAAGGCTTCTTTCTTCGTCCCGATGAAATAATTCCTCAGATTTTGGAAGGGAATGTCGTAAATATGAATTAAAGACATCTGATCCTCACAGGATAAACACCCTCTCATTTTCTTTATCTACAACTTTTCATTTCACATTTTTCACATATTTCTGGGACTAACGTGGATTACAGCGTCTCTGCGCCGCGGACCGCAGACTCTCTTTTGTTCCTGGAGAAGAAGTTTCACTTTAATTGCAGCTTTTCTCCTCTCTTCCTGTCAACCTTCCCTCGCGGCTCTGCCGGGCCCTGCGTTTCTTCTGTTACTAGATAGAAGACGGAGCTGTGTTTTCTAACTCGGCTCACATTTCTGGATGTGCCTCTCCCCCCTCTCTCTCCCCCTTCCTCCCTCTCTCTCTCTCTCTCTTTGCCCGGCTCCTCCTGCAGTCGCTCTCTTTTACTCCTGTGCATTTTTCTGTGACTGTGTGTGTGTTGGAGGAGGAGGAGGAGGAGGAGGAGGTTCAGATTTGTTCAGTGAAGTCAGACGAGGGGAGGTCGACTCAGCAGGCAGATATGGAGGCTCTGCAGCTGAAAGAAAAACTCCTCCAACACTTGGAAACTTAACTTTTTTTCTTTTTTTTTTCTTCTTCCAAATGTGGACATGATCTCGGAGAAGAGTTTCTCCTTTCAGCAGATCTCCAGCTGCTCTCCTTCTTGTTGCTGTGACATGTGAAGAGGTCCAGCCTGTGTGAATGAACAGGAGTGTGTTTTTGTGGCTACGGACGAACAATAAGTCGGCCGGGATCGCTGCGGTAAACTCTGAGAACCTGCACTTTCTGGTTGTACTTGAAGTATCTGCAGTAAACCTGTGAAGTTCCCACTCTTCTCTTTGGCTGCTGCGGTTGTATTTTTGTTTTTATTTCAACTTGTTCAGATGTGGAGAGCAGGCTGCGGTGCTTTCTTTTCCAGGAGAGTCTCTCCCTCCTCTTATCTCCTCACTCCAACCTCCTCCATCTCTCTTTCATGTCCGTGGAGGGGGAGGAGCTCAGGACCGAAGTGAAGAGACCTGGGCAGTGATGTTTCAGTGCACAGGTCGTGCAACAGCGGTTGTCTTTGTCGACTCTCATCAGACGCCCCCATGAACCAATCAGACGCCAGCATGGACTGCACAGCTATTATTTTTAAACCGTGCGCCTGCTCCACCACCAAGTGGTGTCGACACGAGCGCTCCTCCAACCGTCGCCAGCGGCGGCTCCTGCATGGCTGCCGCTGTGGTAGAGATGTCATGGAGGCAGATGTTGTTGGCCACGCCCCCTCCTCCCTCCTGCGGCGCCTGTTTCTTTTCGCCTGCTGTTGTCGGTCTCAGGAGGACGGCCCTGAGCTGCGGCGGCATTGGGTGGCACTTCCTGTTAGCCGTGCACAAAGAGGAAGAAGAGAGGAAGAAGGTAACGTTCTCGGTCTAGAGCAGTGGTTCCCAAAGTGGGGGGCGGGGAAGTAGATGAATTCCTTATTTGTCCCAGAGTGAGTAAATAAATCAGATTAGTGTTTTTATTTTTTATTGTTGAGGATAGTGTTGAATCATTACCACAGGTGGCGCTGCAGATAAGTTTAGAAACCACAGGTCCAGACGGTGTGTTTCAGTTGTTTATTGATCATATTTGAGTGATATTCTACTCATAATAATAAAAATAACCGACCTGCTTCACTACATCTTCATGGAAGTTTAAACACATTTACTGTCAGAGAATTCTGGAGGATGACCTTTGACACCAGGTCACGATTAGAGTTTCACACAAGTCTGATTTTTTTTTGCGGTTATTTGATGCCTGGATCTGTCCGACCATCAGGAGAAGATCCAGTCAGTGGTGACTGGTTGAACCATTACACTACACATTTAGTACAGTAGGTGGCGCTATGTGCCTAAAAGCGTTGGTTATGACCTGCTATCAAATCCTACGTGACATTCAGGTGTTGGAACAGAGCGTGGGAAGAAGCAGTATTTTATTTTTGTTACTTACTGGATTTCTCCCAGTAGAAACAACGTAGATGTAGAATAAAAGGATTAGAGAAAAGAACAGCGTCGTCGACAGGAGTTAAAATATTTGATGTCAAACCAAACAGAGACGTCTGTGATTTCCATATCACGTCTTTCCACTTCATTTTTCTTCTGCTAAAAAAGACTCACTCACCCTGTCATTGACTGACCACTAACACACACGCACACACACACACACACACACGGTCATTTTCCAGTTTGCTTTGTGTATGCTTAGTTTTATTTTCAGTCTGTGATGCTTCTCTAGAGTCGGGTCCAGAATTTACAGCCATAATTACAGACTGTCAGAGAAAGAGACAGAGTATGAGCGCTCGTGCTGTGGCTCACATTCCTCTGTGTGTGTGTGTGTGTGTGTGTGTGTCTGCGTTTAGCATATGAAAATAATGGATATGGTTTAATTAAAATAGACTGCACTGTTATTTGGACGCACCAACGCTGTGTGAGTTGAATTTAAATCCCTCTCATTAAAATGACAGCGTCGGTCATCGTTTCACAGATCAGCTCGTCGACTCCGTCGCCACTTCCTCGTTTCTTCACCTAATCAGTCGAGTCACGTTAATCTGTCCTCCGGACCTGGGGGCGCTGCGGCTCGGTCCAAACGTGACCATAATCTACATCACAGACCCGTGTTCTGCCCAAGAGCCTGGAGCCCGTGATTGAGACTCTTTTGGGATGAAACGCTTACACTCACAGGCCGCGCCATGGAATGGTGGTTAGCGCTCTGGCCTTACAGCAATAACATCATGGGTTCCAGCCCTGACTCTTAGGCCACGTTCACCCTGCAGACAAAACTGAGGGCTGAAGTCCAGATTGTTCTCTCTCCACATCTGACCTTCAATGTCGACAGAGTCACATGTTGACCATGAAGTGACCGTCGTTGTGAGTGGTCGTCCGTGATGAAGGGTCCGGGCTGTGACCCCGCCCTCGCCCCCTGATGTGGGGTGAATTAAGATGATGGGTTAGAGACGGCGTCCTGTGCAGTGACTCCGGCGACTCCGTTCGTCTTTGACTCGTTGGTGGCCTGGCAGTGTGTGTGATGTCACGTTGGTTTTTCTTTTCCATAAACTTTTATTGTGTAGCCACCAGGACTATAACGTTTGGAGTGGGTTTTTCTTTTGTTTCCCTCCAGGAAGTCGTTGCACCCAGAGAAAAGAAAATAATCCCACATCTAACGCCTGATAAATCCACGCTCTGTCGACGTAAGCCCCGCCCACTGCAGTATGTGGCACTCTATCTCGTCACACCCGCGCAACACGGTGTAAACAAAACCCGTTTGGTTGTGTTTGAAGCTGAGGTCCTGCACCACAGACACCTCCAGGTGGCGATGATGTGATTAGATCGTGATGGGATGTTTACATTCCTGATGGATTCACTTACTCTCAGACTCACGTTCAAACCTTTCTGATACAAACGCTCATCGACACTGATCCGTTCTTCTCTTCTCTCATTGGTCGCTCTGCTGCCGGCGAAGCTGTAAATCTTCAGGAATAAACTTGGCGTCAAACTGGTGAGATCGGAGAAAGGGTTGGACTTTCTCTGGCTGTGGCTCCTGCCTGACTGACATTGTCTCTGGAACTGTTTAGCACAGATCTAAAAGCCAGTGTCAGCATCTGAGATGAGGAGCCACACATGGAAGGAATAATTAGAAAACCCTCTCCCTTTTATATAACTGGTGTTTAGTTTTACTGCAGTCGTTTTTTTTTTTTATCATCTACTCGCCTGCCACTAGAGGGCAAAATTGGTTGGTGATAAGACCTGGTTTAGGTTTTTTTTTGGAGCTTCTACCGATGGTCTTCATGATCCAGCCTGGAGCGACACGCAGGGAAACAGTTGAAGAATCAAACTTTGGAAAAATGTATGACATCATACAGATATAATAATCAGTTTAAAATGTTAAACCTGTGGTTCGTTTGTCTGAAACCAATAAATTCAGGAACGCTGATTAGATTCCTGTTTTCCCTGTCTCCGTGTGTGGCTTCTCTCCTGGAATTCCAGGATTCCAAGACGAATAATGGATGAACGTTTGAACTTCTGTGTTTCTCCACCAGGTGAAGATGAGGAACTGGGACCTCCGCCCTCCGTAGACGAGGCCGCCGATGCTCTGATGACCAGGCTGGGCTTCCTGTTGGGTGAAAAGATCATCAGCAGAGAACCAGGGTCTCCTTACCACGGCCAGGACGACGGACAGGTGAGAACGCAGGCGCAGACACTCAGTATTTGTAGCAGTTACTGTATTTTATATATATTTATATATTTATATATACAGTATATATATGAGAATAAAATGATGATGAAATTTGTGCTATGCTATACTATATGTATATATATTTATTTATACATATATAGCAAATATATATAATATATAAATATATATATAAACATATATTCTATATTTTTATATATACATTTATAAAATATATGTGAATATGTGAGAATAAAATGGTGATGAAATGTGTGCTACACATGCTATATATATATGTATTTATACATATATATAGCATATATGTGCTACATAAGTCTATTTAATAAATAAATGATAAAGTGATAAATCCATTAATTCTGTTCCTTGAAGTTTGTCTTTTTCTTTGCCCCCTCCCTCTCTCTCTCCCTCCCTTTCTCCCCCCCAAAGAGAATCTCTCCTTCCTCCAGTCTGGCCAGTAGCAGCACCTCCCCCTGCTCCACTCTACAGCCCCCTACAGGAGGGGAGGGCAGCAGCGATAACAGGCACGTCTCCTCCCTCCACGCCTCCGTCACCTCCCCCACCTCAACACTGGAAAGCCGAGACAGTGGCATCATCGGTCAGAGAAGACTCTTCTGAATTCAACACTTTTCTCTGGTCAACAACTAACTAGTTACCTAACTACTGGTCAGTTAACTAACTGGTTCTAACTCACCCCCTGTAGCCACATTAACCAGCTACTCCGCTGAGTCAGCGGCAGAGCAGGACGGGGGGGATTACA